AACAAAGGATGATGATAAAATGAGCAGAATAAGGCTAAAAGGAAAAAAATAAGTAGAATGTGGTTTGGATGATGAAATGAGGAGAATAAGGCTAAAATGATAAAATAAGTAGAATTTGGGTTGAATGATAAAATGAGGAGAATAAGGCTAAAATGATAAAATAAGTAGAATGTGGTTTGGATGATAAAATGAGGAGAATAATAAGAAAGTAAGGATATTGTGGCTCGGATGATAAAATAATGTAAAACCAAAATCCAAAAATGCATTATTTTGATTTTAAAGGAGTACTTTTGCTGAAGTTTTAATTGTTTCTTGAACTCTCTCCTCTGTCTCATGGATTCAAAGTATAATATTTTAAAAATACTACTGCAGTAGACTCAGTGGTAGAATATTGGGCTCTAGCAGCTTTAATCTTCACAGATACAGGGTGACAAAATAAAATGCTATCAGTTACCTGGTGTTTTAAATATAAGTTTAGCAGTTATAGGGTGACAAATAACCAATATTACCAATTGCATGGTAGCCCTTATAATTTTTCTTATTAGCAGGGTATTTAAAATATATTTACAGCCACAGGGTGTCCAATAATCATGCTCGGCCACGAAGCGTCAAATAAATAAAATTCAGCTACAGGGTGTCTCTTAGTAAAAGTTGGAGAAACCTAACATTTTAACAACATTTTAATTGATTAAAACTAATTTTTTATTTTGAATTTCATAATTTGCCACCCTGTACAGTTTTAGAACATTCTTGACAGAAAATCCTTTAAAAATGTATACTGAGGGAGTTCTGGTGTGAGAATTTTGTGCTGGATATTATTCAAAAAGAATTCTAGACTAGGAATTTCGCACTATGAAACAATATATTTTGTTTTATACTATATATTTTCATTCAAAATGGCCAAAACAGCAACTTTGTGTGTGTAGATTTTAAAGGTTAACAATTCAAGTCTTTGGGCCTTCTGCCCTCAACTTTTTTGGTTTAAGATATAATATATATGTAACTGAAAAGATTTAAAGCAACCATTAATAGCAATCTGTATTGCTTTGGTTTAATTTACATCAGAATAAGAATTGCAAATTATTAAACCGTCTGCCCTCAACTTTATGCCTGACGGAGAAAATAAATTGGTGTTTTGTATTATATACTTGGAGATAAGATCTTAGTAATCAAGGTAATAGTGCTTTAGGGCTTTCAACAACAAGCCAGAGGGTTCGGACTTAACACATAGCTAGACAGATAGATAGCTAGGCAGACAGATAGCTAGACAGATTGATAGCTAGGCAGATAGATAGCTACGCAGATGGATAGCTAGGCAGATAGCTAACTATGCTGATAGTTAATTAGGCAGACAGATGAATAGAAAGATAGGTAGTGAGACAGATAGATTGCTAGGCAGATAAACAGCTGTGGATAGCAAGACAGTCAGAGATATAAAGAGCTATACATTTAGACAGCTTTACAGCTATTCAACTGCAAAGCTAGTAAGGTAGTCATGCTGGACATCTAGACAACTAAACATCTAGACAACAAGACAATTAGACAACTAGACCGGACAGTTAGACAGACAGCTTTGCAGCTAGCAGATAAACAGCCAAATATTTAGTCAGATAAACAGCTCTTCAGACAGCTAGACAGATAGAAATTTGATAGATAATCATTCTATGATGAGGAGACAATAAACAGCTAAAGTTAGACAAATAAAGATTAATATTTGTTTATTGTTTGGCTTGGCACGGGCAGCTGCAGTACATTTGAATATCCGAGCCGGGTCAACCTTTTAGGTCCCAGTTTATACTGTATCGCTCGTACATTGGGTAAATAAAGCAGACACTTTATGTATGAGAGTACAGTAAACAAATCAAAAATAATTGCAGTTTATAAATGACAGAACAATCTGGTTTCTGTTAAGGTTTAACAATTGTCTTTAGTGTAAGTTTTCCTTGCATTAATTAATGCAGCTTTGTTAACAGTAAAGGAAAATATTAAGTCCTTTTATTTTTAAATGATTTTTCTTTACTTCTACTTACAACTCTGTTAGCACAACTTTAAGAAGAAGATTTTTTTTTCATCGTTTATCATCTTTTATAAATATTAAAAAAAAATACCTAAGAGAAATTTTTGGACCCTCTTGATGAACTTCTTTTGGAAAAACATAATTGAAAACTGGTGGCTGAGATCCTAAATTAAAAACATAATTGAAAACTGGTGGCTGAGATCCTAAATTAAAAACATAATTGAAAACTGGTGGCTGAGATCTTTAACTGAAAATAAAAGTATTTTTTTCATTTATGAATTGCAAGTACTATATGCCACAAAAAATAAATAATAATAACATTGTTTTTTTTAAATTAAAATGCCTGCAATACAATTTTCGAAGAAAAATATTACGGAATATTATTCCCGATAACATTTTTTTTTACTTTAAAGAGATCAATTATGTCACTTCAGTTTACTCAAGAAAATTAGCCAATATCTGGAGGGTTATTTACAATCTTGTCGATAGTACATTAAACCCCTAAAGAAAGTCTCCTTCAGGAACGGTTGTACAGAATTTATACTCTCTGTTTCCTTATATTTTTAATTCCCTGCAACAGTAATTTATTTTTGCGTAATCATTGAACAAACCATCACAAATTTTGCAGAATCGACTTAATCGGAATCGTAAATTTTGAAAAGTTTCAGGTCGTCTTTACAGTATGATTCTTTATGGATAACCCTGTACTATATTTTCCTTGACTTTTTAACGGATTTATTTTATGAGTAAGGAAGTCTGGTTGAAAGTTGAAGAATTGTATGATTTGGCAGTTTACCCCGCTATACTACCAGATATGCTACAGGGGCGTACACAGGGAGAGGGGACGGTTTTAAGTCGGGGATCATAACTTGTTTAGACATTCCGGGGGGGAGGGGGGAGGTCTTCTCACATTTGGGCCGAAATCCCCTCTTTAATCATAATTTTTCCTTTTATTTGGGGGCCTTGCCCAACAGCCTCCTCCCCTTTATACGCCTCTGCAGCAGATAGCCCATACAAAATACAGCTGTTCATAATAAACCTCCGTTTTATAAACAAACATTTGGCAAACATTCTGTATCATAATTTGATCTTAGAATGCCTTTCAGAAAGCGAAAGAACTGCTTTACTCGTTTTTGTTCATTTTTTGAATTTTTTACAACGTTCGTTTTTTGATTTTTTACAACGTTCGTTTTTGGTTCGTTTTTTGATTTTTTTACAACGTTCGTTTTTGGTTAGTTTTTTGAATTTTTACGTCGTTTGTTTTTGGCTTGTTTTTTGAACGTTAACATCGTTCGTTTTTGATTTTTTTTTTAAATTTTTTATATCGTTCGTTTTTGGTTCGTTTTTGCTTATATTTTTTCTCAGGGTCATAATTTTGCATAGTATCAGAAATGAAAATGTTCAGTATTAACAATTTTGAAATTTTTAAAAACCAATTGCTTTTTGTGTAGTCTTTTAAAATTCAAAAACTCTCACAAACAAACCGACTTATTGCACTTAGCTAAGGATCAGGGGTTTAATTATATGAAGTTAGGATTAAAACATGTTTTGTAGTTTTTTTTCAAGTATCCCAATTTTAGACAAATCTTTTGGAAGCTTTTTTTCAATTTCCCACATGGTCTGACAATACTTTTTATCTTTAAATAATTAATTTTCACATTTAAAAAAATATATTTGGTTGTGGTTAAAATTAAAATATTGTATAAACAATTTTAATTTAAAACTTATGTAAAAAAGATGAGATAATTTGTTTTTTTAAATATGTTCTGAACTGATTTTTAAAATCTTATCTAACCTAGAACAAGTTGAGCTGTGGCTTGACTTTCCTCTTCTTCATTTACAGCCAGGCATTGATACATACCGCCATCAGAGCTCATCACGTTCCTAGATAAATATATTCATATATTCCTCCATCAGAGCTCATCACGTTCCTAGATATATATTGATATAATCTTTCAACAGAGTTCATGACGTTTCCTAGGTAAATATATTCATATATTCCTCCATCAGAGCACATCACGTTCCTAGATAAATATATTGATATATTCCTCCGGCTCCAATGGAGCAAATCACGTTCCTTTTGGATGAATTGACAAGTTTGGCCCGGAAAAAAATAGTTTATTTTTGAAAATACGCCAAATTAAACAGAAAAATCCGCAAAACTATAGAACGATCAAAAATGGCGACTTTTAGCGTTCAAAACAAAATTTGTAGAGGAAAGGGGGCGCACTAAAAGCCTAGTGATGTATATTCCTGTATCCATGTTTCTAGACTAGCTCTGGGTCTCTAAATTGAATATAGTGTTTAAGTTAACCATCTGTAATATCAGATTATTCCTCTTGGAAGGATCTGACTTTATTAAACATTTATGCTGAACACAGCTTTAGTCCAACATACAGTTCTTTTGGAACCATGGATTTTTTTTTATCCAAGCAGTAATTATTAACAAAAGTTTTTTTTTTAATTTCAATAAGAAATTTCTTCCCTCTAATCTCTCAATATTAAAACAAGTAGATTTTTCTTTATTAAAGGATATTAGTAAAATCAAGAAATATTTATAAGCTGGATTTGGATCCATTTTCTTCGAACGGATTAACACCAAATAGTTTTGATCCTTACTATTGGTTCAGACCTCTCATAAAGAGAAGAAAGGCTGAATATACAACGCGGTTTTGAAACCTTTTAAAAGGGGAAACGGAGGGGATTTTTTAAAAAGAGTAAATTCAGAATTAAATTTGAATTTTTCCAAAAACTTTTATATCCCTCTAGAGTTGTGATTATGAAGGAAAAATACCCGAAACCATTTTTTTACCAAGCAATCTAAAATGTTCCATCGCATAGTTTATCAATGGTTATACTAAAAAAAGTGTGTGTCAAAACAATTTCTTTTAATTGTTAGTCGAGAACCCCAAAAATGATGTTTTATAATGAAGGAAAACTGCTGGTAGGTTAAATAAAACAATAGAAATAATAAAGAACATTCTTCAAAGCAAATTCTAGTATTTTCAATCTGAATTGTATCTTTGTAACTTCTCTTGCTGAGATTATCTTTATTGCAGACATAATCACTGTCTTACATCAATTTAAACAGCTCCAACTTTATCTATTTAAAACTTTACAATTTTATAAATCATAATATCTGAGCTTGTATAAATCCATTTTAAATTTTTAGGAATCCTTAGGACAATATTTTTATCTTCATTATGACCACCTTCGGATATGGAAGAAAAATATAATTAATCCTAAGGTCTTAAAAAGTTCTGATTTCTGGTCATCATTTTAGTCAAGCTGTGGCCGAATTTAAAGAATTTGAGCGGCGTTTTAAATTTAAGCCGCGGTTTAAAGATGGTTGGTTCCAGTTAAAATTGTACCAAATGTTTCAAGATTTAAGCCGGCGCTTAATTTAAACCGGGTTTTGGCGGATTTAAACCGCGGCTCAAATTCTTTAAATTCCATCTCAGAGGCCGAATTTAAAGAGTTTAAGCCATGGCGTAAATTTGAGACGCGGCTCAAATATGGTTGATTCCACTTAAAATTGTAATCAATGTTTCAAGATTTAACCCGGCGCTTATTTGAGAAGCGGCTCAAAACAAAGGATGAGACTTATGACTATTTATTCAATCTTTAATCTTATGTTCAATCTTTGCTTTTGTTTATTTCTTTATAAAATCATAAATTATAATAATGAGAGATAAAAAATAAGACAAAATAATTGAATTAACTTTTAGATTAGATAGTTCTAATATCAAAGAGTATTCAGTCGTAATTAAAGGAACTGTAAGCGTAAATCCAAGGGATCGTATACCATATGTAAAGATGACAATGCCTAATTCACCACAGTACCCTTATTTTAAATATTAATGTTTAAAGTTTGAAAACTGATTACTTTACATTAGGGTTTCTCTACACCGGAGCATTTTAACTGTAGGAAAACATAGCAATTATCAGACATAAACACTTTTAAACCTAGGAAAACATCTTCCACAATACTGATCAGATAAAGTTCAAATGGTACCGTTGTAAATCGGGCATTGCCATATTTGCGTTGAGGGTCACTTAAAAAGATGAATCTTTTATTTATTTATTTCTATTACCTGATGGTCAGTGTAGTCGGGGTCAGTCTAATTCTTTGTGATGGCATCACAATCTGGCCATCCTAAATAGTTTAGCCATTAATTCAACTAATCAAATCAAATCAAATCAAATCAAATCAAATCAAATCAAATCAAATCAAATCAAATTAATCAAATCTGAATCAAATCGGACCCTTTTACCCCTTATCTTAGCAGAAATGATTGAGACATACTTTCCAACTGGAGCCTCTCATTCAAAGTGATTTATGGAACCATGTAGCAGAAAAAGGGAAGATTTAACAGATTTGTTTTTTTTTTCTTACAAAAAAAGGATAATATCTTCTTCATTGTTAATCAGATAAGGGAAGGGTAGCTTTGTAAATCGGGCAAAGCGTGGGTGTTACTTGAAGATAATCCCCTTTATTTGATTGATTAATGCGGATATAACGCAGAAATAAAACGAAATAAATTAAAAAGTAAAATCGCAAACATCGCAAAATTGGGTCGAGAGTGAAGTCTAAATTAAATCTGGGGGGGGGTATTATTAATATATTTGTGAACTAGTATTCTGCAAAGAATATTTAATATTAATGTTAAGGTTTCGACGGCAATATCATTAATTTTCTTTAATCTTACTTGGGGATATCAGGATATTAAAATAAAACAAGACTTGTTTCGCAAATTAATAGCATTTATGGTCCAGATCATTTTAAAGTCAAAAAAAAATTTAACTTTTCCGAAAAATTGGTTTCATCACGTTTAACTATTTTCTTGATCTTTCAATCATATTAAAAAAACTGATATTAGAATAAAAAAGTTGTTATGATAAAAATGGTAGCCTACCTTTAACCAGAATACATTAAGAACAGGTGCACCATCAACAGTACAGTTTATAATAGCTGTTCTTCCATAATCTGATACTATATAGGAGGGGTTTACGTAGCTAGATAAGGGACTGTACACCTAGAAATACAACTAGATATGGGACTGTACACCTAGAAATAAAACTAGATAAGGGACTGTACACCTAGAAATAAAACTAGATAAGGGTGTTTCGCTACTTAGCGATTTCCCTAAAGACCTAATATATATACCGTGTGGTATTTCTCAAGACCGGATCGCAAGACTTCCTTCTCTCAACGTTCTTCATAACAAAAGGATGATAATAAGGTTCCGAACGTTTATTTCTCTGAGTCTTCAATCTAAATAAGTTTAATAAACCCACAGAAAAAGCTTTGAGTGATAAATCATACGAATACAACAAATAATCCACTCGGGCATTAAAAAACTGTGGCGAGGAACCAACAAACATATATAAATATCAATCATACTATAATCAACCGATAAGCATACGTATATATATAAGAAATAATTACCACAGTGATCCTAGAATTCTGGACACGGTTAATACTTGCAACACAAATAAACATATACTGGTATAAAACTATTCACTCCCACGCGAGAAATCTTGCGCCTGCGTAGTCCGTCTGTAAACAGCTTCCAAACTAGTTTTTTTCACAATACGTTCTGTACAGATCCGCAGGTAGAACTCAGAAACTCACAGGGGCATCAACTAGACTTTATACACGGAGCATGGCTCGCGTAACAAAGGGACTGTACACCTAGAAATGAAACTAGATATGGGACTGTACACCAAGAAATAAAACTAGATAAGGGACTGTACACCTAGAAATAAAACTAGATATGGGACTGTACACCTAGAAATACAACTAGATAAGGGACTGTACACCTAGAAATAAAACTAGATAAGGGACTGTACATCTAGAAATACAACTAGATTAGGGACTGTACACCTAGAAATAAAACTAGATAAGGGACTGTACACCTAGAAATAAAGGGACTGTACACCTAGAAATACAACTAGATAAGGGACTGCTCATCTAGAAATACAACTAGAACAGAGACTGTTCATCTAGAAATACAGCTAGATAAGGGACTGTACACCTCGAAATAAAACTAGATAAGGACTGTTCACCTAGAAATAAAACTAGATAAGGGACTGTCCCCCCCCTGAAAAAAATAAAAAAATTTAAGTTTGACAACTATAGAAAATGCGTCATAGGATGTTTATGCAGAACTGTATTGCAAAGGCAAAGAAAAGCAAAACATTTTCTATCAATTTTTGTTCTTCAGTGTTTTGAAGGGATACCTAGCTGACCCACATTGCAAAAAAGGCTGTAAAACGACATAAAAAACTCTTAAAAATAACGATCCCGAGGTTAAAATAAACCTTCTGCTTTGAATGCTGTCTTTTAATAGGTTACTGAATAATTTAGACAAGAAAAGAACAAGTTTTGAGTTGCAGGGATTATGAATATAATATGAAACAGACTGTATGAGTTGTTTCTATAAAAATGTATAAATGTAAAGAATACGGAAACACAGAGAGAATATAGTTTTAAAAGTTTAACTTCCCAGACTTTGTAACATCCTAAAACCCCTGAATATTATTAAAAGCAAAAAAAGTCCAAAAAGGATGAGACTGTAAGAAGACGACCCCAAACTCAAAAAATATGACGATTTGAAGGTTGATTTTTCTGCCTTCAATTGAGAACTTTGAGGGTTTACTAAACGAGAAAGCACTGAAATAAGACAGTTTATGGCCTGTAAAGAACCCTGTCTGAAAGAAAAGGGAACAAATAAATCGTCTCTGAAGTCTCATACTTTGTGGGTAACCCTGTATTTGGTTTTCCTATCTAGCTCTGTAACCTGTAGTCGAAACCTAACCAGCTGAACATCGGTAATAANGTATATTTGAGACCTGAGGCTTGTGAAAGATTGTATGTGGACTAGTTTTCCACAGTAAAATTGGAAATAAACTTTCTACTGCACTATTTACATTGAAGGCATCAAGACAAGATGCGTTAGGTTTGAATTTAATCGATGTTTTGGTCTATAATTCAACTTACGGAGTTGTCTTTTTATCTTTTTTATTTAAAACGCATACGCACCGACAAAAAAGTATTAAAGAGAAAAAGCAAAAAATGTATGTTTATTAGGTCACAAATCAAAATCTTTACAGATTGTTGAGATAAGGCCTGAACTGTTAATATTTACTATTATTATGATATTTCGATATTTTGAATATATGAAGCGGTTTCACCGTTTATAGTGTTCGAGAATTCTAACAAATTGTTATCAGGGGCAGCTTTTAACATTTCATTCGACAAAAAACATGAATAACGTTTTTATCGAATTAAACATAGCATAATGCGGATAAAAAAATTGCTAAATGGTGAAATTTGTAATTCACTTTATTCTTTTTATTATTGTCATAAAACCTTGAACATTTTTACCTCTAATTGGTGTTCAACCAGAAACTGAAAAATCACCAAATTTAAAGAAAAATTAAACATTATGAAGAAAAAAAATTACACAAAATATTAAATTTAATATTTAATTAATAACCAAGTAATCAATACATTTTTATGCATTTTGGAAGATTTTCTAAAAATAGTTGACATACAATAAAAAAGCTAGATAACCTTTTTCAGTGAATCATTATATTCATTATATCGAGCAATCGTCAATCAACCAATCATTTAACCAATTAAGGTTATCAAATCATTAATCGATTATTGAATCAATCTGTTCATAAAATAATCAATTAATCAATTTTGAATAATTTAATCGATTACTAAATCAACCTATAAATCAAAAATCATTTAATCGATTAATAATTCAATCAATCAAACAATCAATGTTAGAATCATGTAATCAATTACTACATCAATCTTAATCAATCAAACAATTTAACAAATCAATGTTGGAATCGTTAATGTTATACTCATTTAATCAATTATTAAACCAATCTATTAATCAAATTAATCAATCAACCAACCAATCAATCGATTCTAGAATCAATTAATCGATTACAAAATCAATTTGTTAATTTATAAAAACAATGAATCAATCAATCGACCAAGCATCTAATCAATCAATTAATCAATAAATCCATCCTTAAATCAATTATCAATGTTTAAATTTGATGATATCCCTGTGATACTGAATTATGGATTTTGCAAATGTATCTCCCTGAATCCGTTCTTCGAGCTCCCACTAAATATAGAAGAATATATTATCAATCAATCTATCAGTCAATCAGACTTTTATGGACACCAGATGACCCATGTGACCGCCATAGCTATACATGCTGGGATTGAAATAAAAGCTTTCATTTTGCAAATAAAGATATTGAGGCTTTTTAAAAATAGTCAACTTTTTATACTTCAATCAATTATTCAAATTTTTGAATATATAGAGGGAAATATTAATGCTATAGTGAGCCCAGTTCAAAGACTGATCCAATTCACAGCTATGCCCTTCATACCTTTCTCCGCAAGTCACTTTTAAATAGAAAAAGGTTGATATCGCCTATTTAATTTCAGACATCTAGGATCGAATTAGGTAGCATTCATCATTTTTACAAGACAAAGGTTTAAAGGGTACCAGTGTGAATCAGATAAGTAAATCTTTGAATGAAAATTATTTTCGTAGTCCTACTAATGTCGTTTTTATTCGACAGTCCTACCAATGTCGTCTTTATTCAGGCTTAAAAGTATTTTTTTAATTTAAATTTACAAGGGGTAAAGACTCACAGTGATCTAGACAGAATGATAAGGTCAAATTTATGCAACAAAACTGTGAGGACTTTGTGACCTAGCTCCTCTACTTTCAATTTTATGGACAAATATGAGAAAGCTAACGTATCCGGCACTCCAGTGTGCCGCGTCCATTAGCGCCTGATCCAATCAGGGTTCAGTCATGTGTTTCTATCTATCTCATTATCCAATTAGAGGTATGAATCCTTCAGTCGGCTCTATCAGTAAATGGAAATATTTACTTCTACTGAAACTATAGTGCTGGTTACATATTAGAAATTGAAACCACCTGCTCAATTCAATCAGAGAAGATTTAACTGAAAACATTTATAGATTTCAATTTGACATGTAATGTACTTAAGTTTGACGGGTTATGAATATATTCTCAATAAGCTGAATCGTATATATTCATAGTACATTGCTTTATAAATATCTCTCTCAGTTTTAAAATTTGTCAAATATTGTAAGGAAATCAAATGTTAAAATAAACAGTTTTAAATTTGTAATACTTCTCAAAGTGTTCTGGAACATTTGAAAATTCCAAAAACCATAAAATTCTTGAAAAAAAAATTTAAACTATAATAAAACTAATTTATAGATAATAAAACTAAACTATAGATAATAAAACTAATTTATAGATAATAAAACTAAACTATAGATAATAAAACTAATTTATAGATAATAAAACTAAACTATAGATAATAAAACTAACCTATTGATAATAAAACTAAACTATTGATAATAAAACTAACCTATTGATAATAAAACTAACCTATTGATAATACTGAGTCTCTAGGGAAAAGAGATGGCGATGCATTTAATGGCTCTTGGTTTCCAGTCAGCTGGTTCATCTGAAATATATCAAAGGTGCCATTAAAAAAATATTCAGACACATTTTTCAAATACAGTGCAAAATTGTAAAAAGGCTACCAAAACAGCCATTTTTTAAATATGTACAGTGTGTTTCTGTAGAAATGAGAGTTAAAGATCGTCTTTATAATCTTACATATTTATATACAGGGTTAGCCCAAAAGAATTCCTTATATTCAGAATTTCCCGCAATTCTAAACCGTTTTTTTATTATTTTTCCAAATAAATTATAGTTTAGCTTAACATAGTTTAACTTTAGGATTTTCATATTTTAGGAGCTTAAAGCAGAATTATCAATTTTACACTTTTTTATAGTACTGTACTGTACTGTAGTACACTTTTAAAGTTCATATCATTCTTACTTGAAAAGGAGGATTCATTTAGTAGTAATTTCCCATTTTGTAGTCAGATGTCTTATGTAATTACATGTATTATATACTGTACAGCTTGTTCTATTAGCCTGAAAGTGGGTCCGGTATTTCAAATATACAAAAGTTTCTGATGAAATGGATTAGATGGGGGAGTTATTTTTCCCCAAACAACAACAACAACAACAACAACATAATCAACAACAACAACAACATTATCAACAACAACAACAACAAAAACAACAACAACAACAAAAACAACAACAATAGCAACAACAACAGCATAATCAACAACAACAACAACAACAACAACAACAACAACAACCACAACAACTTCAACAACAACAACAACAACCACAATAACTTCAACAACAACAACATCAACAATAAAAACAACAAGAATAACAACAGAAACCACAACAACAACAACAACAACAAAAACAAAAACAACAACATCAACAACAACAACAACAATAAAAACAATTAAAAAACAAGAACAACAACAGTAACCACAACAAAAACAACAAAAACATCAACAACAACAACAAAATCTAAAGATTAATTCCTCACCTTGTACCATGAATAAACTGGTGGAGGATAGCCCTGTCCTACACAGGGTAGATCTATAGATCCGCCCACCTTAACCCTAGATAGACCGCAACCAATCTTATTTCACCGACATTGGCATGGAAATGGGGTTGAGGAGAGGGGAGGGGAGGGGGGGAATTGAGTCAGACTTATTCTGAGGATATTAAAACTGGTAATGAGCACCAATGCTTCAACCCAAAGTTTTAGGGTCTAAGCGTAAAAGGAAACCATGGTTAAAGGGTTGTAATAGGGATGAAAAAGAGTAGAAACAAAAGAAAGAATAAAAGTTTAATAATGAAGAAATAAGGAGAATTGGGATATTATAAATGATTGATAAGAAAAAAATTATACAAACTAAAGAATATAAGATGTGAACCAGAATAATTTTTAATAGTTTGGTTTTCTTAATGCTAAATCTAAAGAGAAAAGGAAAGTAAGGAAAGGAAGAGAATAAGGAAGACAAGGAAGAGAAGAAAGGTAGGAAGTACAGAAGAGAAATGTGTTGAATAGATTGGTTTCCTAAATGCTAAATCTAAGGAGAAAAGGAAAGTAAGGAACGGAAGAGAAAAAGGAAGAAAAGGGAGAAAAGGAAGAGAGGAAAGGTAGGGCAGTACGGAGGAGAAAATGTTTTGAATAAATTGGTTTCCTTAATGGTAAATCAGAGAAGAGAAAAAGTAAGGAAGGAATGGGAAGAAGAAAGGAAAGGGGAGAAAGGAAAGGATACTGTGTAAGAGAATTGTTTTGAATAGATTAATTTCTTAAATGCTAAATTTAAGGAGAAAAGAAAAGTAAGGAAAGGAAGGGAAGAAGAAAGGAAAGGGAAGAAAGGAAAATAAAGTATGTAAGAGAATTGTTTTGAATAGATTGGTTTCCTAAATGCTAAATTTAAGGACAAAAGGAAAGTTAGGAAAGGAAGGGAAGAAGAAAGGAAAGGGAAGAAAAGAAAGTAAAGTGTGTAAGAGAAATGTTTTGAATAGATTGGTTTCCTAAATGCTAAATTTAAGGAGAACAGGAAAGTTAGGAAAGGAAGGGAAGAAGAAAGGAAAGGGAAGAAAAGAAAGTAAAGTGTGAAAGAGAAATGTTTTGAATAGATTGGTTTCCTAAATGCTAAATCTAAGGAGAAAAGGAAAGTAAGGAAAGGAAGGGAAGAAGAAAGGAAAGGGAAGGAAAGAAAGTAAAGTGTGTAAGTGAAATGTTTTGAATAGATTGGTTTCCTAAATGCTAAATTTAAGGACAAAAGAAAGTTAGGAAAGGAAGGGAAGAAGAAAGGAAAGGGAAGGAAAGAAAGTAAAGTGTGTAAGAGAAATGTTTTGAATAGACTGGTTTCCTAAATGCTAAATTTAAGGAGAAAAGGAAAGTTAGAAAAGGAAGAGAATAAGGAAGAAAAGGAAGAGAAGAAAGGTAGGAAGTACAGAAGAGAAATGTGTTGAATAGACTGGTTTCCTAAATGCTGAGTTAACTGTGTCTGGTCTATTTAAACTTGAACCTCGAGATTCTAGAACAAAATATATTTTAACAAATAAATTACACTTTTAAAGATAAATAATGGTATTAAACATTATGTATTAAATATTATGAGTTGATAAGATTAACTTTATTCTTTTAATTGTAAATTCAATGGTCAAACATCTGTGAGATCTATTTAATTATTTTATATCACATGACCCTGGCTAGTGAAGGTTTATGGATGAGCAAAATTTCAAAAATTAGCCTGCAAAAAAATTCGATTTTTATTACATTTTGAAAATCCACGACATTTTTCATAAAAACTGCGAATTTTTGTTTGCCGAAAACCTCTCTAAATTTCTTATTTCTATATTTTTACAGAACTTTGGAATTTGTCAAATATTTAATTGTTTCTTTAAGGAAAAGATTTTTATATATTTAACTCTCAATTTTGTTTTATCAAATTTTTATTTAAGTTTTTTTTATTTGGAATGAATCTGTGGTATGCAAAGTCACATAGTAACCAGAAGTTTAAGATGAACTATTTTTTATGAGTTTAATGATCCTTAGAAAGGTATTTTTCTAAGGCGAAAGTGACAATTTCTCAAATGTGGTTTCCAAGCGGCGACTTCAGGTTAGGCCTTCTAAAGCGCCGCAGGCTGCAAAAAAACTCATTAACGTAAGTTACTGATATAGTCTCCCTTGAATTAAAATTGGATTTTAATTTTTAATCCTTTTATAAATTGAATTCGTGACGGTAGAAATATAGTTAATATATATTTTGATATTGATCATTTTCACAATACCTAAAATAGTTTTATTCCTAGCTAGACAATACATTTCTTTAAGGAGTCTGTGACACTTCATTTCTGCAGGGTTTTATGTTCACTGGATTATTTTAAATTGTCTTTCTATTGACTGTACAGTACAGTACAGTACAGTACAGTACAGTACAGTACAGTACAGTACAGTACAGTACAGTACAGCACAGTACAGAGTCCCACTGTTGTGCGCTTTTTTCCTAGCTTTAATATTTCTTGCACAGCTAGAAGATATTTCTCCAAATAGTCAACCTTTCCTTTTTACTTTGCTAGTTGCATGTTTCCACAAATCTGGATTTCTCTTCAATTGGCAAAACCAGAGCTTTGCAATTGTTTTGCAGAATTTTTGCAATGAGTTTTGACAACTTGTGAACGTTTTCAATGTATAAAATGAAAGATGAATATTACAAACTTTAAAAAAAGAGAAAATCTCCGGAGAAGAAATTTAAAGAAACAAATTCCTGAAAGGACTAATTTAACCCTATCTCTGCTGGGGTACTTGAAAACCAGGATATGCTGGGGGGGGGGGGGCAATTTGCCCCCCCCCCCTCTAAATCCCATGTTTGGTGTCTAAATATGACAAATGATACATCATTGGAAAGCTCTTGTGCTCTACTTTTAGAATCTGCAAAAAAATTTGCAAATTTTGCAAAAATTGAAATTTTTATCGCAAAATCCAGTTATATTGTAAAAATGTTTTCAAAAAAAAATTTGTCCAAAAAATGAAAAATTATACATTTTTGAAAAGCCCTTGACCATGCCATTTCAAATATGCAAAAATTTTTGCAAAATTTTAAATAACCTAATTTTTAATCAAGAAAAACTAAAAATGTGCAAATTTCCTTTGATAGGTTGTTTGCAAAAAATTTGCAATTTATTTTCGCAAAACTTGTGCAATTTGTTTCCTTATGTCAAAGGCTTTCCAAAAAGCTAAATCTTATCAAAATCTGACAAGTGGAAGTGGGTCAAAACAAAGATTTAGTTTGTTACAGGAAAAAGCAGTCATTCAGGCAGTGTGCCTGAGGACTCAGGCAGTTAGTATTAAAGCCCGGTTTTAGACCTAAATGGAAGGCTTTGGGTATGTAGGAAAAGTCAGAAAATTTCAACAGCCTCAGACCAATACTTTTTGAGTTATGTAAAAAAACTACAAGGGGGGGTCAAATTGACCTCCCCCCCCCCCCAGCAGGAATAGGGTTAAGAATTAACTCGAAAGGTCGCTAACCTATACATGGCTGGCTCAACCAATTCCTAATTTTAAATGAATGATGGTTCAATTGGAAAATTCCAATTTACATACAGTTCGGTCCAACGAAACATTACTCAAATATATTTTACTTCCAAATCAGTTTTATACTTTAATATGACTGCAGTATAATAATATTTAGTTTTATTTCTAGTTATTGTCAAACATCTTAAAAAATAATGGATGAAGACATTTTAAAATATTAACCAAATGTCATATTTCTCGAGACACCCTGAAGATTTTTTTTGACGATAATCTGAGTTTGTTACCAAAGTTCTAGATATATTGGTGAATAATGTGAGTTTCCTACCATAGTTCTAGATATATTGGTGAATAATGTGAGTTTCCTACCATAATTCTAGATATATTGGTGAATAATCTGAGTTTCCTACCAGAGTTATAGATATATTGGTGAATAATGTGAGTTTCCTACCATAATTCTAGATATATTGG